CCTCCTCCTCCCTCCCCTCCCCTCCTCCTCCTCCCTCCCCTCCCCTCCTCCTCCTCCCTCCCCTCCCCTCCTCCTCCCTCCCCTCCCCTCCCTCCCCTCCTCCTCCCTTCCCTCCCCCCTTCCCTCCCACCGTGCGCCGCGGCCGCTGTTGCCAAGGTTACGGGGGGTCGCCCAGGTGGGAGGGAGTCTACTTGGGCGCTGGCCGGCGGACCTGCGCAGCGGGCGGGGCGGGGCGGGGCGGGGAGGGCCTGGGGCGGGCGGCGGGGGCGGGAGTCGCTGCCTGGTCGCCATGGGAACGGCGCAGCTATTTCCAACCCGCGGGTGGTGCCAGTGGCGCGGTGCCAGGGTGCGAGGGTATTGCAGGACAGCGGCAATCTGCTGCGGCCCGGGACTTGACAATGCGCCCCTTCTGTAGCGCGGGGCCCGCCCTCGCGCGTCGCGCTTCCTCCCCGGCGCTCCCGGCTGCACGTGCTGACCCCGCCGCCGCCCTTGCCAGACAAAGCGGGACCCTCCTGGGAGAATTTCCTTGGCGCCCCCCTTCACTCGATGGACCCTTTGATTTCCTCCCACTCTCGTCTTCATCCCTCACTCGTCCCACCCCTCACAGCTGCCTCCTGGAGTGCCTTCTCTTTTGTGCTCACCAGCTCAAGTTTGGCCCTCACTTCAGAGCTTTGCCTTAAAAAAAACTCCATTTGACCTTGCCCCTCCCGCACTCTGTCATCTCCTTTGCTAACTTAATGCTTTTGTTATGAGGGCGACTGCTCTGTCTTACCTTTTCTGTTGTCCGCTGGCTCCCCTACCTAACACAGTTTACTTTCTGTCCTCAGCCTTTTCAAGACTTCCAGAAACCCTCTTGACATCTCTGCTTCTTTCCCAGTTTCCTTTCTGCCTCTTTCTCTCAAGAGGACTGTGGACAGTGGAAGGGAGATTGCAAATGGCTACCCAGATTAAGCCCCCTTTGTATCTCGCTGACACCACCCTTTTTTCTGCGACCTGAAATCGCATTACTTGGGTACCATGGGTGATGCTCTGGTGGGAGTGTGGGAGTTCTGCTGCTGCCGCCGCAATTACCTGTCTCTTTGATTGTAAGCTTAAGTAAAGGAAACTTCTGGGAACTGGCCAAAGACCCTTGAAATGCAACTTGAGGAGTAAACGTCTCTGCTTGGTCACTCTCTGCTTCAGGTCATACATCAACTGCCTCTTCCCACCTCTAGACTCCCTTCACCCCGTCCCCGCCCCCGCCCCCCTCAACATAGCATTGTTCATCCTTTTGGCACCAGCCCTAGAAGAGGAAAGGGCAGGTCCTCCTCCCCAGGAAGGAAGGTGGGGCAGAGTAGCTCCTGCAGGAAGGGAAGGAAAAAGGAGGGAAGGAAGGAAGTGGCCAACAGAAGAAGGTGGAATCCGGTGGGAGGGCTTTGCATTGTTTTAACTCCTTTCCTTTTTAGCTCTGCAAACTCAAGCCCAAGGTCATCCCAGAATCAAGGTTCTGCTGCCATCTCCCAGAACCCTAGCTGGGACTGCCTGCCTGAACCTGAAGGGGACCATCAGAAGCTTTGGGGAGCATATTAAAGGCAGGTGGGCAGAGTTCAATGTATGCTGCAGATTCTAAGCACTTACATTTTTTGTGTATCCATCTCCTTTTGTTTCTTTTCTGTCCAACAAAGTCAGCTTTTATTTTGCTTTTTGTACCATAAAAAGTCCCAGGGTAGAACTATGCCTCAGGTGAGAAAAACGTATCTAACATTTTCTGAGGATCTTCTACCTGGGAATCTGCTCTTATAGTCTGTAATACTTCACGTTTACTATACCTGGGGCTTTATAGTTTATAAAGGTCTGCCACTTAACTCTACCTCATCTCAACCATTATTATTACCCCTACTTGGTCCCTTTCACCCACTAACTTTATAACTCAGCCTTTCAGGGAATAAATATGCATCAGTATTGCTCCCTAATATCCCCTCCTCTCTTTATCTGGCCAAGGCCCAAATTGCAGGCCCCAGGAACACAGGTAAGGAAGAGCCTTGGTCCATTTTAGGCCTGTGGTCCAGGAACAGTTATAAACTAAAAGAGGTTTGTCATGTGACTCTTATTTGCATAGCGTATCTTTGCATCTCCATTCGCTTAACATCCAGATGCCTAGAAAACTTCCAGCTTTTGGCTCTACAGGCATCTTGTTCTTTGAAAGCCTCAGAGTGAAAACAATTGATTTGTGTTTTGGAAGAGCTTGTGTGAAACCTAATCCAAAGCTATCCTGCTGTTTTCTTCCCATCTTCTGGATTAGTTAACAGTGTCCTGCACACTGCAGAAGGCAGAGGGAGTAGGGTTTTGTTTTTCTCAGTCTGAGAAAGCCCGTCCTCGCTCTCTCTGTTAAGCATATCCTTCTGAGGGGAAAGTGTTATCGATAACATTTAGATGGCCTGGGATGGGGCTGAGGGTCAGGAACAGAGCCTAACAACCTAGGATCCATTTGCGTTTCTTCTGGTTTTAAGTTGCTGTCTCCTTGGCGGAGGAAGCTATGAAGAGGGGTGGCGGCCTGGCTATATGGAGTTGGGACACGTATGGGCAGAGCCATGGGTCTTGGCTTCCTTTTCTTCTGTCTTACTTACCGTGCTCTAGAGAGAATTTGCTACCGCCTTCAATTAGCAAACCAATCTGCAAGCCAATCTGCCCTGGGCACTGCCTCAGGGAACTTACACTCTTGCAGAAAACACAAGCTCTGCAAACAGTTCATGTGTGGAGGGGTGTGGGACTCAGCAGTGGGGAGGGGAGATTTCTGGTAAATAGTAGAAAAGATTTTTCTCATAACTAGAGATCTCAACTATGACAGGGGCTGGGCTGCCTTACGTATTCATGGTCATGGAGATGGTCAAGGAGTCTAGGCTAGATGTCCACCTGTCAGAAATCCTGCAGTACATATTCCTGTGCTGGGTGGAGGGTGAACGGATGACCCCTATGGGTCCCTTCTAACTCCAAGAGCCTGCCATTTTGAAATATATTAATGATCCTAGGCAGCGTTCAATGAATGACTCAAACTTTATAGGGATTCCATTCATCGATTATTTATTGAGTGTGTACTTTGTGCTGCTGCTCTGCTAGATGCCGTGGGTGATTCAGAGATGTGAATGGTGGGGTTTAAGATCTTTGCAAAGGCCACTAACACTCAGAGCAAACTGAGGCAGGAAGGGTTCCAGGCCAGAGTGAGAGGTCCTGTCCCCCATTACTTCTTCTTCTTTTTTTTTTTTTTTTTTTGGCGGTACGCGGGCCTCTCACTGTTGTGGCCTCTCCCGTTGCAGAGCTCCGGACGCGCAGGCTCAGCGGCCATGGCTCACGGGCCCAGCCGCTCCGCGGCATGTGGGATCTTCCCGGACCGGGGCAGGAACCCGTGTCCCCTGCATCGGCAGGCGGACTCTCAACCACTGCGCCACCAGGGAAGCCCCCCCCATTACTTCTTAATCAAAGCCCAGAGGACAGCATCCTCTTACACCATTGCCTTGTGATTTGTTTCTTCCTGAGATGCTGGATGGAAAGATTTCCAGGGCTTTTGATCTGGAGGAGAGGGGCAGAAAAGAGAACCTGTCTTAATCCAGAGAGAAGTGCCAAGGGAGTGAGGCCATGTCTGGAAGGGTGAAGGCTGGGTGAAGACAGACAACACCCCCTGCCCCCCAATCAGGATATGCTGGGATGGGGACAGGAATGAGAACTGGGAAGAAAATGAGGTGGAAACGAATGGGCCCCTGTAGGAGGAGGTAATGAGGTGAATCAGAAAAATCTGTCACTGAGATCCAAGAAGAGACTGGGAGGTTTCATCTCTCTCGGTCTTTTTAAAAGATGAGATGTGTCAGTGAGAGGGCCTGGATTTATGAAGACATCTGTTTCCTTGGCTCCTTCCAGAAGCCTGGGGATGGAGCAGGTGGGGGCTTGCTATGGCTGCTGGGAAAGGTGATGATATCCCAGCACTTGGGCAGCCTGAAACCAGCTCTAGGGGTCCATCTCTCTTTTCCCTTCCTTCGCAAGAGGAGTCCTGCTAAGCCCCAAGAGCTCCTTCCCTGGCCGGTGCTCAGCACCCCATCCTCCCTCTCCCTAGGCAGCCTCCTCAGGAGGAGTCCAGGCACCTGTAAGCCAGGGAGAGTGGTGGGGTGGTGGTGGAGGGGACCACTGCAGGAGGGTGAATGTCTGGGGAAAGGGAAGCGTCCCTCGCAAAGATTCTGATTTGCTTCTCTATTCAGGGGAGCAACTGGGAGTCAGTTTAATTAGAGTCCTTGGCATCCTTGGGGATGGAAGCCTCTGCTTTGTTGGTTTACATTTGTGCGTGTCCTAAGTAGCCTCCCTCCACCACTGCCCTGGATACTCTCAGAATCTTATGCCCAGAATGTCCTTTAGGGGGTCATGTCTTATAGCTCCAGAAGCACCTGGGTGTGTGATTACAAGGGTCTTTCCTGGGGGAAGGGGGGCAGTCTCATGCCCTTAACCACGACTCCTACTAGCCTGCAGCTTCTGTTGGAATATTGGTCTACTTTGAAGCACAAGCTTCAGTTCTCACTGAAATGCCAGTGATGCCTCTGTGGGAATGATGTCGCCCTGGATCACCACCTGCTGCAAAGAGCAGCCTGGCAAGCACAGGAGGGCCACCCAGCACAGACCAGGAACTTGCAGGAATGGGATCCAGGACCAGGGAATTTTGCTGGGGGTAGGGACAAGTCAAGGGAGAAAAAAAAAAAATCCCCAAAACCAGTGCTAGGGTTAGGAACTGTTTTTGAGGTCTTCACTCCATCCCTGTGAGTGGAAGGACTCTGAAGTTGACCCCAGGTCCTGGCTGCAGGCTCAAGGTGTTCAACCACCTCTGAACTCCAGGTGGACCCTCGACGGTGGCCTAGGTCATTTCAGAACCTCACTGGATAGGAGGATGCTGGCATGGAATTTCATTCCGCTCTGAATTTGAGAACAGGAAGGGTGCTGCTGGGAGTTTTGCTCTCGTCTGCATGCAGATCATCACAGTGTTCTTTGCTTTGAAGAATGAACGGAAACCAGGGGCTCAGTTTGACAAGGACTCTGCAGGGAAATTGCTGGATGCCGTTGTGGGCTGCAGGAAGCTCTTCTCCTGCCCAGATGATGGATGGGATGGGCCTCTGCAAAAGAGGCAGCCAGATGCTGGTTGCTTTTCTGGTTTTAGCCTTTGGTGGTGGGGTTCTGCTGGAAAGCCCTGGTAAGTATTTCATGCAAACCAAAGGAGGGCCAGAGACACCACGCCTGAGCTCAAAGTCCTCGATGTCACAGACCTCTGGACGGCAGCCCTTGGATTTCTGCCTGCAATGGGCAAGGCTGAGGAGGGGAGGGGCTGAGTTGGCAGCTGAAAGAGATAGGGTAGAGGATAGACTCTTCAGCTCCAGAGGAACTGACCTTGAGGCTGCTGCACTGGACAGAGTGACCAAGAGAGAGCCCTCTGCCACCGTGCCTCTTCAAGTGTTGAGAGCTGAGTTGTTGACATGTAACCCAGGCAATGCAGATCAGCCATCCTCGGGTTCTCCAAGGTCACTGGGGTCTATTTCTGTGTTGACTGATTGGTTTTATCTCCCTTTTTGGCTGAGATGTTCGAGAGCTAATTGGGCTTAGAGGACTAAAAGAAGTTTTCCTTCACTTTCAGAATTAAATCCAAATGCTTCTGTATTAGGTACTCAGGTCTTTGTGGTTCACCCCCTGCCTATCTTTTCTGTCTCATCTTTTGACACTATCCTGCATATATAGCACCATCTAGTCACACTGAATTATTTGCAGAGCATGTCATCCTCTCATTCCTCTCTGTCTTTGCCCATGCTGTTCCCTCCCCCTGGAGCACACCCTTCCCTTCCCCAACTCCAGAGATGCCTGGCCTTCCAAAGAACTTGCATCTCATCTTTTTCCGGAGAGCCTTTCCTGATGCCCCCCACCCCTTCTCAGTCTGGAGTAAGATGCCCCTTCTGTGTGCTCCAGAGGGTGTGCATAACCCTAACCCTAACCCTAATCACAGCAGTTACCACATTAGATTGTGGTGCTTTGCTCCTGTGTCTCAGTGACAAGAAAACAGTTTCTTCTGGGGTTTCCCAGTGCTCAGCACAGTGCCTGATATACAATCAGCACTTGTGTATTTGTTCAGTGGCTAATTGCCTGTGTCCCCTGTGCCCCCTCCCTCCCCCCACTAGAATTTAAGCTCCGTAAGAGCAAGGATTTTGCTTTCCTTGTTCACTGTTAAGCCCCTGTGTCTAGCACACAGTAGACCTGAGATAAATATTTGTTGAATGAATGGATTGGAGTCAGAGACTGTGATTCACATTTTGGCTCTTCCCCTGAGTGCCCTGGAGATCGCGTGTAAGTTACTCAGTGTATCTAGGGTGGTGTGGTGGGATGTGCGGTGGACCAGAGCATTGCCCTTAGGCACCACTTCAAGCCTTCAGTGCCTGGGACCTTATTCCAGCCTTTGCTGCTGTGGCCAGTTCTGTGCAGAATTCCCAGGCTTATGCATATGCAGCTCAGAAATACAGAGGAATTAATACTCTGTGGGACAACTTGGCCAATGGGGAACCATAGCCAGTGGATAAATGAGTTCCCCCTTTCTTCCGGTGGATGATTTTTTTTTAACAATTGTTGTTGGAGTATAGCTGATTTACGATGTTGTGTTAGTTTCAGGTGTACAGCAAAGTGAATCAGTTATACATATACATATATATATATATATATATGTATATCCACTCTTTTTTAGATTCTTTTCCCACATAGGTCATTACAGAGTAATGCGTAGAGTCCCCTGTGCTATACAGTAGGTCCTTATTAGTTACCTCGTTTATGTATGTGTGTATATATCAATCCCAATATCCCAATTTATCCCTCCCCCCTTTCCCCCCTGGCAACCATAAGTCTGTTCTCTACACTGGTGGATGATTTTGAGATACATTTCCAAGTGTCCTTAGATGGTCCCATAGGACTGGTCAACCAGTTGACCCTTATGGATGGCTTCACAGTGTACTGTCTGTATTGGCTCTCTCTCCTGCCCTGTTTCTGCCTCCTTGGATCACGTTCTCGAATACACTACTCATGTATAATCACGCTCTGCTTTTGGGGAGCCCAGGTGAAGACAGGTTCCACTCCTTGCTCTGCTACTTACTAACTTTGTCTTTGGGTCGAACCACTTAACCTCTCTGCTTCTGTTGCCACAGCTGAAGATGGGTGTCGTGATGTCACCCGAGGTTTGTCATATTGGATAATGTAATATGTGCGAGAGTGTCTCCTTCAGTCCCTGCATATGTTAGGCACTCACTACAGGTCCCTTTCTTGTCCTCCTGCCTGTGTTTGTAAAAAGGCCTCTTTGTGAAGAAATGTGGCTAAGCGTGATCCCTGCTCCAGTGGGAGCAAAGGGTGATGAGACCGGATGACTCAGGCATTTGGCAACGGGATCATTCTTCTCTGGAGCATTCTGTAAACATTGGTCAATGGAGTCTTGCAACATTCCTGACAGGTGCGAGGTGGGAAGAGGCCAGGGTGTGGAGGCAGGGAGGGGCCCAGCGTGTTGCTCACAGGGCCAGAGGTGGTACAGCTGAGACACTCCTCCGGCACAAGCGGGAGGCCCCATGTGCAGGGTAGTGACTTCTCAAGTTCTCTTTCTGTTCCCCATTTGCCTTCCTATCGACCCTCTCGCCCTCTCCCGGATGACATCCCTCTGCTGCAGAGAAGAATCCCAGTATTTTTGATCCTTCCTCTCTGCCCCCCATCCCATGTTTTCCCTCCAAAAGAGCTTGAGTCCCAAAGCAATGAAAACTTATTTCTGGCCCTACCATAGGTGATGGGAGTCAGTTTGGGAGACCGGAAATCTGCTTGGCTGCCCCTTAAATTATACAATATATGCCCTTCCGGCCTACAGGTGAGGCAGGTCCTGGGCACAGTAAGCCCATTGGCTACTGGGAAGCTCGTTGGGAAATGACTCAGGAGGACTGGGTCAGCCTTCTTGGCATTTAGTCGTTACCTTTTTGAGCCACAAGGCCTCTGCTTCCCATCCTCCCTGGCGCTCTTGTGCTCCGAGCAGCCGTGCGCACTGATGTGCAGAGAGATTGTCTCCCTCATCCCAGGCCTCCTGGCCCTAAGGGACCATGCGGGAGGGAGGCTGGGCCAGGGTGAGTGTCTGGATGCCACCCCACCACAGAGGGGGCCCCTTCCCCCAGAGCCACACCCCACCGCCTCCCAGGGGACTGGATTCCGGCTCTTCCGGAAATCTGGCACACATGCGGCCCCCTGGAGGAGCCCAGGACAGGGAGGACCAGTTGCCAGCAGAAGACAGGGGTAACTGGGGCTGCCCTGCCCCTGCCTTCTGCCTGTCCCGGACATTTGGAGCCCACTCCCACCTGGCCAGTGAGTCCTGCCCTCTGAGCTGCTTACTGCGCCCAGCCTGTGCCCGGAGAGACCAGTGGCTCAGCTTCCTCTGCCTCCCCCTTTCGCCGCCTCCCCCCACCTATGAGTCACCAGGGAGCCAAAGCTCAGGGAACTTTCTCTGGAGGGAAGCCACTGAGAATGGAGAGGAGAGGGAGAGTAGTAACAGAGAGAGAATTGGCAATTAAGTTGCCAGGGCCTTTCACCCCTAGGCTCCCGATTCCTGAACTGCTATACTAATCCTGGCATGAGCATCTATATCGTCACACCTGTGCACACCACTTGTATGTGCAAACTTCCAATGTAGGTAGCTGGTCCTCTGTCTAACTCCTTCCCAGCCCCAACCCTCCTTCCTTTCCGTGTTCTCCAATCCTCTCCATACTCCAGACCCTTGTACCTGACCAGATTGTATGGGTCATGGCCTTTTTTTTTTTTTTTTTTTAATTTATTTCTTTTTTTTCGGCTGCGTTGGGTCTTTGTTGCTGTGCGCGGCTTTCTCTAGTTGCGGCGAGCAGGGGCTACTCTTCGTTGCGGTGCGCAGGCTTCTCATTGTGGTAGCTTCTCTTGTAGAGCATGGGCTCTAGGCACACGGGCTCAGTAGTTGTGGCTCGCGGGCTCTAGAGCGCAGGCTCAGTAGTTGTGGCGCACGGGCTTAGTTGCTCCGCGGCATGTGGGATCTTCCCGGACCAGGGCTCGAACCTGTGTCCCCTGCATTGGCAGGCAGATTCTTTACCACTGTGCCACCAGGGAAGCCCAGTCATGGCCTTTTTCACGGGAGTTCTCAAAGTGTGGACCGACAGCATTGGCCTTGCTTGGGAACTTGAAATGCAAATTCCCAGGCTCACCCCAGACCTACTGAATAAGGAACTGAATAAAGGATGGAGCTCAGCAATCTGAATTTATCGCCGCCCAAGAGATTCTGAGGTTTGAGAACCACTGATCACAATGGTGATCACAATGTCTGCGATAGTCCAAGCAGAGAAACACTTGTCCAGAGCCAGGAGGCCAAGGCAGGCAGCTGCTAACTTCTCTCACAAGCCAGGCTTCCTGGTGAACACCCTACAGCCCTCAGAAAGTACTGGAGGCCCCCACCCACTGACAACAACCCCAGAGGCATCCAGGGATGCTGAGCAGCCACTTCTCCCTGACAGCTCTCCCGCTGGGAGTGGAAACCAACAGAGAAGGAGAAGCGCTCTTCCCCCAAGGGCCTGAGGAAGCTGGGAGAGGGGCCGTGAAAGGAGCAAGGGGAGGTGGCTTCTCCTCGAGGATGACGTTCAGAGGACAGTGACTTGAGTGAGGCAGCATGTGAGCTCAGAATTAAAATACTGTGGCAGTTCTGACTGTCTCTGGAAGGGGCACCTGTGATAGTAGCGTTTGGCAAGTTTGGTTAGTTGGGTGGCAATGCCTGATTTATGGAGGCGGAGAGTATAGTGGAAGGAGCACTGGATGAAGAGACTGGAAACATGAACCCTTCTTCCCACTTTAGATACATCCTTGTTGTAACTTAGGGTAACTCTTTCTGGCCTCAGTTTCCCAACCTAGACAGCAAGAGTAATATTATCAACTTTCATTTACCTGAAAACAATGCTTTGAGGAAAGGCTAAGAAAGACCCTTGTAAAATTTTTTTTGGAAAAAGTTCAGAGTGTTTAGTATCAAATCCCACAATGCTAGGTTTAAAAAAATCTCTATTTCTGTGATCTGAACCCAAAGTACAAGCAGAATCAAGGGGTAGTTTGGTGTGCTGGAAAGAATAATTGTCAGGAAGCTTGGGCTCCAGTTTCAATTTTGCCATTAACCAGCGGTGTGATTGTGGGTCAGTCACTTTCTCTCTCTGGGCCTCAGTTTCCCCATCTGTAAAATGGGGATATTAGATTAGCTTATATCTAATGTCATGCCAAAATTTAACAGTCTAAGAGTCCATGACTTTGACTAGTTAGTCCCCATGGTCTGGATTCCCAGGTGGGCACCATGAGGTTCTGGCCTTTGCCTCATGGAGGGAGAAAAACCAAAGAAAAGAGGTGGGCCACATCAGGATGTCATTGCTAGAGCCAGGATTTTGGACCCAGGGCATGGAGGAAGGCAGAGTGGAAAGCTTTCTGGAAGGGTGACATGTCACTCTCAGAGAGACAATTTGGTGAAAGCCTGGGTGTTTTCTTTTCACCCATGAAGCCTAAGTCGGCAGCTCATAAACAAGGCTTCCTGACACGGGGAGGAATTTTCTTTTACTCTTCCTTACCACAGTTGACAAAGTTGAGACATGGAGACCAGAAGGCGGAAGGGTGGGGGGTAGGGGGTGGAGCTTAGCGTCCTCAGCTCTACAGCTGTTCCTCATCTTCAGCCTGGCCTTGAGCGGGCCACTCAGAAAAGAGGGCAGAGAGCAGGCCACTGGCTTCAGGAAAGAAAAAGAGAGCCCAGCAACCCCTTCGCAAGACCAGCGCCCCTGCAACCCAGACATCACCTCTGGTTCTCTTGGCCATGGATGCTCCCTGCCCTGACCCAGGCCAAGGGGATGTGCCCTGAGCCTCACTTCCAACCTTCCTCCTTCTTCTCTGGGGGCCACTCACAACTTTGGGGAGCAGCGTAAGTGGCAGGACTGGTGTCAGAGCGCCCTGGGGCTCTCTGAGGCTACAGCTTCTACTCCTGGGAGGAGCCTGAGGCTGTTTCTACTCCCTTAGTCAGCACTAGGCGGGAAGGGTGAGGGCCTGGGAAAGGCCAGTGGCGTGAGCTTCTGTGGCAATTGCTCCTCAGTAAACACAGTAATAGCAGGTTTGGGATTATGGTCGTCACCCCTGATAGTTATCAGCCGCAGCGCATTTCCTCCTGTCCGGCCACACCAAGCTCAGCACAGCATCCGGGGCTGTGGAGGAAGCTCTGGATTTCCCAGATCGCGTCCTACGGTTGCTAGGCAACTGGGAGTCTGGGCTGGAACAGGGGGGAATCTCATTTAGGAAAGTCTCCCCAGGCCTCCTGAATCTCTGAAATCTAAATCAGTTGTTCTCCAAGTGGAGACCTTGGATGATTGACTGCTCACCTGGCGGCGGGGAGGACGTCAGAGGCTGTCACTGAATAAGAGACCCAGCCAACCCCGGGGGTAACATGGGGGAAGGGAGGCTGGTCTGGGAGCCACCCTTCTGCTGAAATGCCATAGCTGCTGTGCCGGGCATGGGGCTGAGTCCACGTGTGCTACTGCTGTAGCTAGTTGGGATGAGACGCAGCTCTGCGGTGGCTGCCTGGTACTGGCTGGCCAGAGAGGTCTAAGAGGTGACCCAGCAGAGGAGAAGATAAAGATAGGGAGGAAGATGGGTTCGTGTCAGTCGGCTTGTTTTAGTGGCAAGTCCCCGTGGGTGTGTTAGGTAGTAAGCCCTAGCGTCTTTTGCTCCATTCCAGTGCTCCATAGACCAGAGTTGTTTGTTTGTTTGTTTTTTGTCCATGCCTCACAGCATGCGGGATCTTAGTTCCCTGACCAGGGATCGAACCCGAGCCCCTTGCAGTGGAAGCACAGAGTCTTAATCACTGGACTGCCAGGGAATTCCCTCCATAGACCAGAGTTTGAGATCATAGGGGAGGAGAAAGCTCTTGGAGTTGCCTCAGTTTCTTGCTAAAGGTGATATAATTTGGTGGCCAGCAGACTGAATTTTCTATGTTGAAGGACCTAATGCATTGTCTTTGGCATGACTTAGGAATCCACCTCCGAGACCCTCAGCATCATAGGCTGAGACAGGTGCAGAGCAGGGAAGGAGGCGAAGAAGCAGCAGGGACTATTGGCTCCGAGCCCCCGTAACTTTGACCCAGTGTGTATGACATTTTCCTGTTGAATTCTGTGGAGTGCGTTTAACTCTGCTTACCTGGAGGGAGCCCCTGGCTCAGAAGCAGAAACAAATCACAAAGGAATGAAATTCAACAAACCTTCCTTGACCATGTGCTCAGATGGGAATGGTGCTGAGTACCAGGGGGAAATGGGGACCTGAGGGAGCCAGCTCCTTCCCCTCAAGGAGCTCACAGTCTAGCCAGGGAGGTGCCACATGCAGACTGCAACTAGAGGTGATTTTTTCTTCCTGGGAATGAAACCTCCTACAGCAGCGAGAGGTTGGGGCTTTGTCCTAAGGTGGAGGTAATAAAAACCTGTTTGTCTTCGCAGGGCAAGATGTGCCGCAGGGCCCCTGCATGTCAGTTTACCTGAGTCAGACAGGAGCACCTCCCTGTCTCTGGAATCTCGTCGGGGCAGGGAGGCTGTCAGGGCGCAAGAAGAGGCGAGGTACGTCCCTGGCATGGGAGTTGATGAGGTGGATGCACAGAGCTCCTCTCTCAGCGGCTGGTCTCCTGGCAGCCCTGAACACGGTCCTCTCCACATAGCCAGAACTGCCCTGAGGAGACCATGATGAATACCTGCAGTAAAGGTATTCAAACAAAGAAACATCTATGGTCACCACCACCTTCAGGTTCAGTGAATATTCAAGGAATTCCCACTGTGTGCCAGCTAGAGGACTTGGCGCTTTCCCATGGCTATCTTATTTAGTGAACATTCTCTCAATAATTCTAGGAAGTAGGTATCAACCCCATTTTACAGACGAGAACACAGGACCTGGGAGGCCTAAGAGCACTCACCAGACTCAGTGAACACAGTGTTGCTTACAGGTTCTATAGGACACCACCTAGATGTCCTTCAAATATTTCAAACTCATTTTATCCAAAACCCAGTTCACTATTATCGTCTCCTCCTGGGTTCCCTGCCTAAGTAAATCGCCACTGGTCTAGCTGCCTGAAATATGGAGGTTAGCCTAGATAACTTCCTTTCTCTCATCCCTAATGTCTGTATTTGTTTTTCTTACCATCTAAACATCTCTTGACTCCACTTCCGCTTTTCCATTCCTGGGTCCACTGTGCTAATCCAGGCTCTGATAATTCATCAGCCAGCTCATTACATTGGCCTCTGCCTAGAGCCATTCCCACCCTTTCCCGTCCAACCTTCTGCTGAAGTGTACCTCTCTGTAGCTTTCAGGATAAAGGCAAACCCATTATTTTGAATAAAAGGCCTTTTTGGACTGGACCTTGACCACCTGTGGTGCCACGTCTCCTCTCCAGGCCCCCAGGCCTGGGACCCGTTTGCAGTTCCCTCGTGTGCAACACGCTCCCCTGTCCACAGGTTTTCTCAAGCTGGCCTTTCTCCCCGGACTGCCCTTCGTCTCAGCCAACTCCAGTCACCGCCCCACCTCCCATTTATGTCTTCTGTCCTAACCTGACCTTCCCCCGTTTTGGTTAGCGTTTCCAGATGCCCGGGGTGGAGATGGTTGCCCCTCCCTTGTGCTACCTGTCCCCAGAATGGAGCTCGGGTCTCTGCTGCCCACAAGCAGAACCATCTGGTGCTTGACCACTGTAGTGGGTATCTGACGAATGAACAGCCTTAGAAAATAATGTTTTAAGTGGGGGAGACACTGCAACATACCAATTACACAAAGAAGTTTTATAAAACTATCTGGATAAATCGTGGAGTTCATTATTCAAAGGAACAGCGTTAGCATTTGTTGAAGCCCCCTGTGGATGGTGCCGGGCCTTTGCATATGTCATGCCATCGAATCAGCAGGGCTGGGATGGGGCACAGACAGCCTAGATGGCACAGCACATTCACTCAGCGGTTCTCCGCCAAACCTGCGGGCAAATACTCTGCTCCTTCCACTGCCTCCTGTGGCCTCTCCTTTTTGGAGGCAGGTTTTCCAGTGTGGGGATTGTCTTTTGGCCATTCGTGGGCCTATCAGGACTGTCGCAAGGGAGGCGATAGGGATAGGGGACCAGGGGTGAGAGAATCAGCAATGCCTGAGGCTCCACCACTCAACCTTCTGATTTTTCTCGTGTGTATTCATCGCACCTCACCGAGTCTCCCCAGAAGCACAGTTCCTACAGTGGGATTGTCACAGGTGGCCCTGAAGACTGAGGTTGCTGTGACTTATATGTCAGTATCAGGCATGTGGGGCACAGGCCTGAGTGGTGCGTAATCAGCATGGGAAGAGGGAGAAACAGAGCAGAGCCCATGGGGGGGTGGGGGGGAGGGCCTCCGGGAGCCCTGGGGGAGGAGCCTGCTGCCCACCTCTGTCTCTTCACTCTCCAGAAGAGAGCCTGGTGTCAGCGCCCTGTGCATGAATGAAGGAATGATGGAGTGAGTTCCACGTTTGTCAGGTAGGAGAAGGTATTTTCCCTCTTTCCTGGGCGTCTGCCCCTCAGCTGAGGGCATTTCTGCCATAAGCCATCCCAAAGCTCCCTCTGCCCTCCCCTTCTCCCCTCCTCCTCCCTCACTTCTCTTTTCTAGTCTCACTACCCGACCTGGGCGATTAGCATATTACTTTACCTTTGCCAGGCTTCAGGGTCTCCTCTAGAACGATTCCTTCAACCTCGATCCACCAGACGTTCGCTGTGTTCCTCCCCTTGCTCAGCAAGTGTGAGGCTCTGCCGGAATAGAAAGGATGATGCTACATGCCCGACCTTCTGGAGCGCAGGCCGGCGCGGGAGCCTGCTGGTCAACAGGCAGTTGCAATGGAGTTTGATGAGAGGGGAGGGCAGTGAGGGACATCCAAGAAGACTTGGATGAGGGTGTTCAGGCAGGGCTTCTTGGGGGACGTGATATCTGAACTGAGCCAGGAACACTTGCACAGCTCTGAGGGTGAGTCTCCTTAAATTTTGTACGCTAAGCCTCTACTTTTTTCTTTTTTTTTAACATCTTTATTGGAGTATAAGTGCTTTACAATGGTGTGTTAGTTTCTGCTTTATAACAAAGTGAATCAGTTACACATATACATACGTTCCCATATCTCTTCCCTCTTGCATCTCCCTCCCTCCCACCCTCCCTATCCCACCCCTCTAGATGGTCACAAAGCACCGAGCTGATCTCCCTGGGCTATGCGGCTGCTTCCCACTAGCGATCTATTTTACGTTTGGTAGTGTATATATGTCCATGCCACTCTCTCACTTTGTCACAGCTTACCCTTCCCCCTCCCCATATCCTCAAGTCCATGCTCTAGTAGGTCTGTGTCTTTATTCCCATCTAAGCCTCTACTTTGTCTTATTTTAGTCCCAGCCCCAGCGCTGAGGAGTTAGTAGGAAAGGGAAGACAGTGACTGTGAATAAAGCACCTTTCAAGTAAGGGAATCAGGCAGCAAGGGGCGGAGCCCTGAGGTGAGAGCCTCCCAAGATCCTCTCTGGAGGGGGCAGGGTATGGGGGGAAAGTTGCTGGTGCCTGCAGCTCACGTGTCATGCCCAAGAGCCAGACCACTATCCCACTCCCAATGTGGCCAATGCTCTTGCTGGGGAGAGAAGGTAGTTCGAGGTGGCATGGAATCAAGTGTCCTGGGCAGTGAAACAGCTGACATGTACCTAGTGCTTACCCTGTACACTTCACGCACATGTCCTATGAAGTAGGTACCATTACTCTCAGCCCAGTTCCACAGATGGGGAAACTGAGGCACAGAGAGGTTGAGTAACTTGTTCAAGGTCATACAGGCAGTACCTGGATGTGAACTCAGGCAGTCTGGTGCTAGAGCCTGTGCATTGAACCACTGACTGTTCTACCCTTCCTAGTGATGCCTCTGAACAACGGGAGAGAGTAGAGACCCCTTGGGCTGTTTATAAAGACAGCTACAGGTATGACATTTTTGAAAGACTCCCATGTTATCTTAAAAATTCACATACATCTTGTACCTATTGCAAAATAAAATCCCTATGTGTTTAATCAAGCCATGCCTCCCACCAAATAATCGAGTAAAATCAATGCTCCAGAGAGATGTGCCACATTTATCCCAAAGCACTGAGTATCCCCAGGGACACAGTCTGTAGTGGGAGAGGTACAGCCAGCACAAGTTTCAGAGCAGGAAGAGCTTGGCCCGGTTAGAGGAGCTGGACAAGGAGGAACTTGAGCATTTCCCAGCAGCGCTGCACTGCTTCCCTCCCTCCACCTCTCACTGTCTGAAGTCAGGGCGCACCCTTGGACTTCCCCACGTGATCCTCACTGCCAAGGTCATCTGGGACCTAGTTACTCACTCCTTGTGGTCACTGGGCTACCTTGTTTACAACTGCTCTTCCTCCTGTTCCTCCTCACCTCTCCCCCCTCCTCTCCCCCCTCCTCCTCCTCTCCTCCTCCTGCTCCTTCCTCTTCTTCTTTTTTCTTCTCTTCTGGAGGAGGCCTCCCTGAAGGTCACGTGAACCCACACACGTGAGCACAAGCTCTGCGGAGCCTCTTCCATCTTAGTCCGCAGCACTTAGTTCTCACCATTCTCCCAGTTCCTTTCTTTTCTAGAAGTTTTTGTCTTTGCTCATGGTGAACCACTGCAGGAACCCCCTTGCATGGCCTTAAAAAAAAATCACAGCTACCAGCACAAACCCAGCATTTCAGTTCTCCTTTCTTTTTTGCGGTATGCAGGCCTCTCACTGCTGCGGCCTCTCCCGTTGTGGAGCACAGGCTCCGGACGCACAGGCCCAGCGGCCATGGCTCACGGGCCCAGCCGCTCCGCGGGATGTGGGATCTTCCCGGACCGGGCACGAACCCGTGTCCTCTGCATCGGCAGGCGGACTCTCAACCACTGCGCCACCAGGGAAGCCCCAGTTCTCCCTTCTTTACCCTCCCAATTTCCAAAGAGTTCTCCCTCCTTGGCCTAACAGTTGGCTGCCTTCTTTATGTTTCGGACCTGATGTGCTTCTTGCATGGCTGACGGCGAGGCTCTGTATAGGGCCATTTCTATACCGTGGAGGAAACTGCCCCGGCCTCCTCCCCTCTGATGGCCTGCCCCGCTGCCTGTCATCTCTGCGGCCTCCTTAGCGTTCACCTACTCAACAGTGGAGACTTACCGATGAGGACCTACTGCTGTTCAGGTGCTGTTCCAGCACAGGGGATGCTGTGGCAACCCTTTCGAAGCTTACATTGTTGGGGAGGGTTGGGCAGTAGAGGTGGATTAAAAACAAAATAAAAACCCCCCATGAAGTAAATAAATAATATACTTTCAAATAGTTATAAGTGCTATGAAGAAACTAAAATAGGATAATAGATAGAGTGACAAGAGGAGAGGAGAAGAAACGGCAAGTGCAAAGCCCCCAGGCCTTGGCAAAAGCTTGAGGACCGGAAAGGAGGCCAGTGTGGCTGGAATGCAGAGTCTGAGGGGAAGGGGGAGCGCATGAGCTGGGGGCAGGGGTGCAGGGCTGAGGTCACCGAGGGCCTCACGTGCCACAGTGAGGAGGTAGATTTTCTTTCACACGTGGTGGGGGAGTAACACGATCACTTTTTGTTTTTGTTTTTGCGGTACGCAGGCCTCTCACTGCTGTGGCCTCTCCCGTTGCGGAGCACAGGCTCCGGACGCTCAGGCTCAGCGGCCATGGCTCACGGGCCCAGCCGCTCCGCGGCATGTGGGATCCTCCCGGACTGGGGCACGAACCCGTGTGCCCTGCATCGGCAGGCGGACTCTCAACCACTGCGCCACCAGGGAAACCCCAACACGATCACTTTTTGAAAAGGACCACTCTACTCTGGCTGTTGTGGAAAGCGGATTTTAGGGACCAAGAATGGGAACGAGGAGACCAAGTTGGAGGCTGTTATCGTGACCCAGGTGAGCTGGGATGGTGGGTTCAGTTGAGGGCAGCAAAGGGGGAGAAAAATCAATAGATTCAAGATAGGTTGCAGAGAGGTAGGCAACAGTGGAGTAGAAGATGCTCTGATCTGGGACTCAGAAGTCCTGGAATTGAATCCTGAGCGCACTACCCACGAGCGGTGAGAGCTCATGTGAATGACCCTCATCTATACAATGAGGAGAAAGGCAGCCGCCTCCCTCACTTCTCGGGTGGGAGGAGGAGAAGATGAATGCGCCCGGCGTGGCACCTGTGGGACAGGGCTCCTCCGCATGGCTTGCGATGCTGAATGTTGGGTTGAGTATACTCTAGAGAGGTAGCTCAGTATTCCTGGGAGTTCTCCCCTGTTAAAAGGGTGAAAAGGACAGATTCTCACCTAGGCTGCTGGCAGTAGGCCCACCCTCAAGGTAAGTCACAGCTAGCTCAGTGTCGACAGTGAAGGGAGTATTGGGGGATCGTCACCTTTCAAAGTGGGAAAGTGGGTCTAGACAGGGGCTAGAAGGTGCCCCGGGCTGGCAGGAGAGAGTGGCCTGAGGGGCTGATGGTGGCTGGACAGGGTGGGAGGGCGGGACCTGGGGCGAGCCTGTCACTCTCCAGAGGGGGGCAGCCAGTGACGGTGGCTCTGGCCGTATGTGCTTTGGTCGGTGAGAGGAGGAAGGCCAGGGAACACTTTGATGGTCTGACAGAAACTCTCAGCAAGGCTGGGTTTTGACCTTTCGCGGGTGGAGTAGGTCAGTTTTGAGCCCTTTCCGCGGAAGTTCTGAGAGCAGAGATCCCACCCTTGGAAATCACCTATCCCACGCTGGCTTGTTGTCAAGACTGCCTGCGGCCCTGTGGGAGCTGGCTGACCCGGGAGCAGGGGGCACGGACCTTTATTAAGGCACAAATCAAAGGTCAGGGTAACATGAGCAATATTCATGGGCTTCGACCCTTTCTCTTGAGCCTTCTGAAGTCTGGACTCTGGAACCTCAGGTTTCTGGAGGGAAGTGAAAGGGAGCTGCCATCAACTGTTCATCTACGGTATGCCAGGCACCATACGCTACTCACGAAGTGTTGGTGAAGTAAACAGTATCTCCATGTTTTTCACACCAGGAAATTGAGGCTCGGAGAGAGAAAAGAATCTTTTCCCGAAGTCACATGACCGGTAACAGGAGACCGAGGCTGCTTATTCCACAGCTCCTGGTCCTGCACAAGTGTCTCCCGGAGAGGCTGGGCCCCCTCCGGAGGGGTCCTGGGATCTTGATTTTTTTAAAAAAAGTCCCTTGGGCACTTGCCATGGCCAGCCATGATTGGAAATTTCCGCCCTCCACCCCGTGGCTTTCCTGAAAGCCTTAGTGGGGCAAATGGAGCAAAGAGGAAGAGTAGGTACCCATGTTTGGAACATAACCTTAGCAAGACTTACAGACTCTCAACTGGGAAAGAAACTAAGTGGTGTTAACTGGCTTTCTGGCTCTGCTTGGTAGGAGTTACTGAACTTCTCTGAGCCTCAGTTTCTTTGTCTGTAAAATGGGGATCCAAATACTTAACCTCGCAGGACTACTGAAGGATTTGGGATATTGCAGTAATGACTTAGCTTAAGGCCTGGCTCAACTAACCATTGAATGAATGGTAGCCATTAACACTATTCACTGCGTCATCAAAGCATTTTTTGGGGGGGCAGTCAGTTGGCGGACAGTTAGCTCCTCTGCGACCCACTCAGCCATCGCTGAGGCCCCACCTTGGCACAAGCCTGTTCCACAGAAAGAGCAGACTGCCAGGCTCTCTTCCTCCCTCCTGGGAAACCCCAGTGTCCCCACAGGCCATTGGGCCCTGGGCCCTGGTATTGAGGCTCAGAAACGTGGGGACACTCTCTGCTTTTCAGCTGGTGAGCCTGCCCCCCTTCACGGCTGGCCTGGGGGCAGGCTGGGCAGAGGGAGCTGGCAGGAGGAGGCTGGCCCTGTGCCCTGCTCCTCTGCCAGCTGGGCGGCTGGGCCGGGTGGCAGCTTGGACTAGCTCGCAGGCCCAGCGGGGACCTCTGTGGGGCAGCAGCTTCCCCAAGCCCCTCTGCTAGCACCAGGCCATCTGGTGCCTCTGTTTCCTTTTGTGTGCCTGGGGGCCAGGGAGGGAGGCAAAGGGGAGGAGACAGATTTCTCTGGTCAGCTTTCTTCAGAACTGGGGAGACATGAGCTGG